ACGGAGGGGGGCCCAGGCCTCCTTGCACAGCCACAGAGTAAAGGTTTCCCATCCAAAACATCCAGCCAGAGCAACACTTGGGAGAACACAGTGCCAGACCCATGCCAAACCACTCAAAACTCGGCTCCAGGACCCCACAAAATATTTTTTTTCTCAGGATTTCCCAATTTCCTTGGCACTCAGCCTTAGCCAAGAGCAGGTCCCTACAATCACCGGCATTCAGGACACCCAGTCAATACCTTATACAGAAGAAAATAGGCCCGAAGCCCAAACTGGACAGTAGTCCCAGCTGGACAAGGGCCACAGTGGCCTCAATGGCCTCATCGTTACCATTATCAGATGGGAAGCACTGCACCGGATAAGGATCATTTACCAGATGGGCCTGACCCACCCCAGCTTCTCCCCTCATCAACATTCCGCACCCACCACGTTTTCCGTAACACGGGGAGTGCCGTAGATGAACCCATCATTTAAAGGGCATCAGGAGCTAGCAGGTTCACTTCCTTCACTAACAAATAATAATTCAAGGAACATGAAGCTACTATCAAGGCTTCCCCCCAAGAGGTTGCTCAGGGACACCCACCCCTGCCCTGGGAACAGGCAACGTGATTAAAACCGACCCCCAGAGCCTGCAAGTGTATTCCAGGTAAAGTCAAGAGCAGCCAAAAGATCACAATTACCCATGAGGCCAATTCCAGAGGACACGCAGAAACAACAAGGGGGTCCAGGCACATCTTGGCAGAAAGCAGCATGGGGGAGAAAATAAGCCTATAAATACACAGGCTCCCTCCCTGCAATTTCCCCTCTCAGTCGCTGTGAAAAACATCATCAAGGCTGTAAGCTGTCCCCACAGCATCAATCTGACCCCTCCCAGGGGCCTTTTATCCAGGTGGAACCTCCAGCTTATCAAGGCTCAACCTCCAGCTTATTCAGGCTTTCTGTGACGGATCTCTAAGACAGGCACTTTTAGCCAAACATAGAGCTGAGACTCCTGTCCAGGAGAGAGCTGCACATGGTGGCGGTGGGAGGGACCTGGAGAAGCCACACAATCCACCCGCAGCTCAGACTGAGAGGTCTGCATCAAACAGAGCTGCGAAACACAGCCCTACGTCCTGCAACAGGGACTCCACAGCCTCCCTGGGCTGCTCAACTTCCAGACTTGGGCTCGAGACCAGCTTCCTAAACCACTCTTCCTCTGCAAATTCATTGCTTCTTGTCCCAAGGGAACAATGCAATGGATCTCCTTTCTCTTTGCAGAGCCACTCTCTCCTTGCTTTTAAGCCATTTGAAAAATGCCAGCCCATCTTTTCTGTCAGTTCTAGACCAGCTGGTCCCAGTCTTTGACCTTCCCTCCCAGATGCCACTTTCAAGACTTCCCTCTCACTCCCTTAGTCTCCCCAGTTGTGGCTAGGGCCCTCCTCACCTAACGGTAACCACAAAGAGGTCTGCATAGGAGCTAGTCCTGCGGGGTCCCATAAAGCCACACTCACTGATCATTTTAGACATCCACTTTGAAAAGGAGCCTCCCGCCGCGTGGCAGCGCTCCGGGGAGCTAGGGAGGGCCGGCTCACATCACGGAGACGCTGCACACGCTTTTCACTGCAGCCTTCCAGCACGCTCTTGGCTCACACACACAGGCAGGAGGCAGTTCCCAAGCTCACTCTCCTACCCCAGCACACAATGCTGCACTCACAGCACTGAACATAAAGACATGCAGTGCCTAGACGGCTGAAACACCACTCTCCACGCTGCTAGGAGAACTTGTTTTGAGCATGACCCAAGGTGCAACAACTACAGAGGTGACACATTCTAAGTTGAAGCGTTAGACATCCTTTGCAAAACCCTACCTCTGCTTATTAAATTGCCTCTCTGCAGATCCCATCTGTAGTCAGACACACTGTCCTCCCCTTCCCATTTGGAAGGGCAGCCCAGTCATGGGACAAACAAATGTGCAAGAGCTGTTGCACGCAGCTCAGGCAGGGGCTGTCTGCCACAGACTAGACAGAGGACACCCTAAAGTCTCCCTTCTCTACCAAACAGGAGCCCAAAGAGATATCACCTCTACCTAGCTCCCCAGCTGCCGTTTCACGTGGAGGAGCACTGATCCCAGTGGTTTCTGCCAACACGACTTCCCAAAAGGCCTCTCAGACTCCAGATGTGAACTCACCTTCTCTGGGACACTTTCAAAGAGAAGCTGCTTTTGCAGCTGTTATATCTGAACAGCTGGCAGCCCAGGTGCTTTGCTGGCCACAGGACAACCCAAGTGAGGAGGAGGAAGACTTGACTAACTCAGACTGCACTAAAGCAGGCAACAAGTCCCTGGCTGGGCACAAATGCAGTGTTATGGCATCATTTCTGAAACTTTGTTAGGATCATCCCCTCCACAAGTCTGTCACTGGTCCAGGAAATCTCTGCGGTCATCCCTTCATCCTGTACCAATTAGCCTGTAACGACTACCTTCTCTTGCCTCTTGCTCAGCCAAGTGCTGAAGAGAATCACAGTCTCATCTCCCTAATCATCCTTTAACACAATATCCTGGATCCTTTTCAGTCTGGACTTTGCTCTAGTCGTGACGCAGAAAGGAAGAGCACTTACCGGCTATTCTGTCTGTTATCATCTTCCTCTTCCTCCACCCCACAATAGGCTCCTGACAGGAGGAGCAGATGTAGCAGTTACGTGGACATGGGAGTGCAGAAACTCGGCGTGCAGTGACCAGGAGTGTATCTCCCTCCACCAGCCAAGAGCTAGGGCAGTCTGACAAGGGACTGATCCAGGAACAGCTCTCGGCTTTGAAAGCAGCCAGCTCCACACAGCCTTATCACAAAAAAGAAGCACATTCCCCGAGAGCGAAGATTTAACCTGCACCATGAGGACAGGCCCCTTGCTCTCGACTTTCATCCCTTTATGCCAAAATACTCACATGTCTCCTCAAATAGGAGGTTCATTATAACAGCTTCCAAGCACCCAAATGCAGCAGCAGCAAATAGCATGTAGGAAAGAGTAGGATGCAGCCCTGAGCTCTGCTGCCAACTTACATGAGGCTCCCCTTCTACCCATTGGCATGTACCTCCTTCATAGAATTCCTGTACTCACTCCTCTAAGGAAAAGACCAATTGCAACAGTGCCAGTGTTTGGGATAAGAAATAACCTAAACCCTTCACAGCTCCTGGCCAACACTCACCACTCTTGAACATGGGATGCAGCTGCCAAGATAAACTGTGCTTGGAATGACAGCCTTTGACACCTCGGAGCTGCCAATTCAGCTCAGCTGTACACCAGGCTGGCTTCACAGGGCAGCCCCAAGAAAAAATCAAGGGCTTCCACGTTGCTAGATGCTTTGCAAATGCATAAAGACAAATACCGCCATCTGAAACCATACAGGGTCTCTATAAGTAGACCTGAAAGCAGATCGCAGCATCTCCAGTCTCGGGAGACTGACCCAGCAGGGTCACTGGCCTTGCCTGCAGAGCCACAGCTAAAAGTATCCACATCATAAATCAGAGCAAAACTGCAGAAATCAAGCATCTGGCACACTGAGAGTGCTAGTCAAGCACTGATGTACCAAACCCTAAGAGAGAGATGCATCTGTCCTGTGGACAGAGACAAAAAGAGTGCTTCTGTTTTATACATGAGGGCACCAATACAAGCCAGAGGTCCTAAAAGACAAAAGAAAAACCCAGATCTCCACATCCCTAGTCTTAACTCACTACGCGGTAAAGACAGAACAATTTGGATTTTATTTCTGCTGGAAAACCTCAATTCAGGCACACAGAGGAGCCTAGACAGATAAAGTTACACTGCTCAGCCAAGCAGTTCATGCACCTTGCAGTTTTCTTTAAACAAGTTCAGGTGAAGACCTGTATCCTCCCCCCAGGTCCTAACCTTTTCCAGCTGGACTTGAACATTGCATTCAGTCAGAATCCAAAATACTGCTAAATGGATTTGTCCAGGGCTCTTTCATCTCATCTTTTTCATTGCAGTTCCTTCACCACAAAACATCAAGTCAAATTGACTTCAGTTCCTTTTCCTATCCATTTAAGATACCTAAATGATATCCTAAATAAATGGTATCCTAAATACCAGCCCTAAATGCCTCCAGGAAAAGTCCAGCAGCAGCATCTGCTGTGCAACTTGACTCAGGCTAAGCCAGAAGCAGAACGATACTGCAGGTCCAGCACTGAGGAGATGCGCCCAATGCTGCACAAAGCTCCAAGACCAGTTTGAAGTCTGGCTGAGCAGTTTCCTCACTGTCTGAGGTAGGGGGAGACAGGTTTTAAAGAGAAACTGGCTAGTAGCTTGGGAACTCGGGTCATGCAGACACACTTGCACATGAGAACAGGACCTGATGGGGCAGTCTCCATCCCACATCAGGATAGCTAGATGCTCCAGGCCAGCTCCTCTCCGCAGCTCATTTAGAACCACCCCCACATCCTTGGGCAGGTGCCCAGAAGGATTACCTTCACATCTTGGCTGTTGAGCGGGTCCATGAGCTGCCCCTCCAGGGCCCGGAGGGACTCTGAGGTCAGCACAAGAAGGCGCTGCAGGATCTGAGGAAAGAAGAGAGCAAGAGGATAAAACTCGGGGCTTTGCAGAAAGAGGGATGGACATGACTAATGCACAGCGCACTGGAGCTCAATGCTGGGACCACTAAACTGCCCCAATTTGGCAGCCACCACAGGGCAAGAAGAGAAGAGCCCTGCTCACCTGCGCTGAGGGTCGCTCTCTGGTCCACACCGAGGTCCACTTGTCCTTGGGGGTGGCAATGAACATGACGGGGAGGCGAGAACGATCAGCCACAAACTTGTTCTTGATCTCCGTGCAGTCGGCGTCTGCAGAGGGCAGACAGATGGGTCAGGTGCTCTGCCCCCTCCACACCCACATGACATAGCCCAAGAAAGGGCAATGTAATCGACTTTTGTCCTCACCCATCCTTTTGCCCACACCCTCAGATCCCCTGTTTCCATGCAGCCAACTCCCTGGCAGTCCGGACCGGGCTGCTTCCCGTTTCTCTTATCCAACAGGAGAAGCAGAGCGAAGCAGCAGTAACTCCCATAAACTAATCATCAGAGCCCATAATGCACCCAGCAGGTACCACGAAGCAGCACCAGGGTCTGCATTTGACACTCAGCCACCTTCATGCCCTGGTACATCAGCTCCTTATTCATGTTCACCTGCATGGAGGAAAGCAAGGCCATGCAGCGCCTGATCCCAAAAGCCCTTCACAGTAACACAGCCTTTGGGCACAGGTGCTTTTCACATCTGACAAATCACTCTTGCAAAACAACAAGCAGAGATGAGTGACGGTGAGACAACGTGACAAACAGCAGCAATGTAAACCAGCTGCCAGGACCGTGCGGGAAACACCGATGCCAGGGCAGGAGCGTTTTGGAAACCACCAGGGCAAGAACAGTTTGGAGCACGAGCCTCTGGCATGGCCCCCGCAGCACAGCACACGCAGCCACCAGTGGCCACACAAACGAGAACAAGCCCTGAACATAAGGTGGGGGATTCAAGACTACAGCCACTGTTCCAGAGACACAACCAGCAAGATGAAAAGAGGGATTCCCCAACAAACAACCTTTTTCCGTGACCATGTTAAGGTTTGATCACGGATTCTAGTGACACAAAGGAGCCACAAATGTGTCTTTCAGCTCAGTCCACGGAAGAATGAGTGCATCTCTGGCTCTCAGCAAGATGCCAGTCTGAGAAAGACAGGGCCAAAGGCTGTGGGACACTCAATCTCTCTACGCACAAATCCGTACAAACCAGGATGGCTGCCAGCCAAAAAGGGTTTAGAGGTGGCAAAGCCAGCAGCACAACCAGCTTTTGCAACAGAGAAGGAAACGCCAATACAAACCCTGGCCTCCTCCCCTCCAGTCTCTGGGTTGCTGCTGCTGCAGAGCAGCACTGAGGGCCATTGGCAGGGCAGGAGGGAAGATGCTGGAGCCATCTCGCACAGCTCACAAGGGAAGCTGGTGAGAGAAGAACCCCTTGGGGGCCAGATACTAAATCCAGAGAAGTTCACATCCGGCTCAGGAAGTCTCCAAGCTGCAAGGAGCGGGAGGCTGTGAGAGCTGGCGGGAGCACTGCTATACACTTGCTGTTCCAGCACTCTTCCTATCTGCCTATGGGAAATTTTGGAGACAGGATGCCCGGCCAGATGGACCTTTGCTCTAACCTCACATGGCCACTATTATGTAGGGCACAGAATGATTCAAAGCACAGTCATTGAGACTGACCCCAGCTAGGAACTTGTGTTGTTATATGCTGTTCAAAGAGTTTGCTTTCCAAGTTGTTTTTAAGAGAAAAAACAGCTTTTCTGTCAAAAGCATATTCTATTTTTTCATTTATATATATATGTTAATACAAAGCTTATGGATAGAAACATATCTAACAAACAACACACACAATTAATTGTCCTTCTCAGAAGTGAAAGAGTCAAGAGAATGCATAGGAACAGCTGATCTCTCCAGTGCTGCCCACACTACTCACAAGCAGTTTTTACTTCTCTGTTATCAATCAGCTTTAAAAGTTTGGGTGTTGTTCTTCACCGCCACCAGAGCTGTGAAATATCTGCAGCACAGTGAACTAGGTCTTTTCTGGTCCCCATGTCATCCAAAATAGATGATCAACAGACAAGGCAATCAAACAACATCTCAGGATCACACATTTCCTTGGATGCACCAATATGTTCCTCTGGAAACCAGAGACACATTCACCAGGAGATCAACAGAGCCCATGAGAAAAAATAAATAAATAACAGGCCTCCCCCATGCTCCTGAGCACTTGGATGATTGAAGCCTTTTTCTCCCTCTTGCATGTTTCTAAGTCAGGCACTAACAGCTAATGCCAGTGCTTCAAGCTGCTTAGCAGGGCTCCTGAAGCAAACAGGGTAGGGAGGCTTTGCACCTCTCCACACATGCTCCACCAGCAGCTGAAGGTGATGCTCTCCCAGTGCAACCACCAGGCAGGTGGCACCTAGCAAGAGCAAAGTGTCCAAACTACTCCAAATGCAAAGGGCCCTTATCCTGCTCCCCTTTGGGTCTTGCCCAGCTCACCCCTGTGCGGTGCCTGTCCAAGGCAGTTTACAGAGCAGCCTTGGCCGCGTGCCGGAACCCTGTGCTTGCGCACAAGGAGAACCTCCTCATGCAAAACAGGGACACCTCAAGGAAGGACAAGATGAAGGACAAGGTTACAAGACACAGAAGCAAAGGCATGAGCCAGGAAGAGCCAGGGCAAAGCCTCAAACTAAAAGGCTGCCCACACAGGAGCAGAGGGCTTCAAGACACTATGACACTGTGTAGTCCAAAACGGCCCACGCTCACAAGGAAAGATTTCAGTAATACCACAAAGCAACATAAAACTGTCAGCAAGATCAGCTCTTCAAAGGCAGGTATGAGGAAAAAACAAAGCAAAACAAAACAAAAGCATAACCAAACAAACCCTGAAGCCAAGTTAAACAGGGTAGAAGAATAAGAGTGTGGAAAATCTCCTTGCCCAAGGCTGAAGCTGTGACATTAAACCGTATCCAAGACCCCTAGAGCCACACGCTGAGCCAGGAGGG